GCATCATGTGACCTTCAGGGAGCTCCAGAACACCTTCTCAGAGCACCATGTGACCTTCAGGGAGCTCCAGAACACCTTCTCAGAGCATCATGTGACCTTCAGGGAGCTCCAGAACACCTTCTCAGAGCAGAGCCCAACTCGGAGCCCAACTGCAGGGACGGAATTGTCAGGCATCTACAGCCTTTTCAGAGGTTTTGTTCTGTACAATATTTCTCCTTCGGTCCACCATCACCGTGAAGGCAGACATAACCTCCAGATAATGAAGAAAGATGACAGATATGTTACTGGGGAGCTTCAGAGCCAGTGGCATGGTTAAGGGTAGAAATACATCAACTTTTCATTGTACACTAATGCAAAATATAGCCGTGAGACCTGAGATGTTTTGGCAGTGGGCAAGAGACGGGACATGGCCCCGGAGTCGTAGAAACGCCAAGCCCATGTCCTGCTAAAAATGGGGCGCAGGTACGGGCGAGGCCCCGGAAGGGTGGGGCTTCACAGTAATGATGGCCAAATGAAGCTTCATGAAACAGATGGTGCTCTTTGTTCAAAAAAGGGCTCAAAGCATGCCCCAAAGCAAACCAAGAGCGCCATCTACTGGGCTGAAAAAATACAGCAAATGGTTCATGAAGCTTCATTTGCCCATCGCTACCTCGCAGCCTGGTGGGAACTGTGTGTCTTAGTGCCAACAAGGCTGCTCACACAGCTGGTCAGCTAATGCAGTGTTTCTCAAACGAGTCCTCGGGGACCACGGTCCACGTTTTTGCTTTCTCAGAAACGTGGACTGTCTGACGGTTGGTTCCCTGAGGACTGGTTTGAGAAACACTGAGCTAATGAACCGGAGTCACCAGTAACTAAATCTCTGTAGACTTCAGGATGGGGAAGTGTGTTTATAGCACCTTTCAGCAATCAGCACTCAACCCCAGGGACATGTAGGACAAAGGATCGGGGCCTTTTGACAGTGGCAGGTAGGGAGGTGGGGCATGGACACCCAGGGGTGGGGCAAAGGCACAATCACAAGGTCATTCATTTACTTTCCACCCCCAAAAGTTAAGGTGTGGGGTTTTGTTTCTGCGGCCTTACAGGTGATAAACACTGCCACTGCAGGAATAACACTTCCGTGACCCAGTGCCCAATTCCCCATGATTCCCTTGCAAAAATGGCAGCCTTGTGTTTTTGGCCTCGCCTTCAGCTAAAGCAGTCCCTGCTTCCACGCCAGTCCCAATTCCTTTCTGGAATCCCGTGTCACATAGTGCGCTTTACACCCCGCAAAGAGAGGGGTCAAGCACCCACGTCCTGCACTTGACCTGACAGGCCAGGGACTGTCTGTCGAAGGCCGATTTACAGACGCGGCTGCTGTTAATCTCTGACTAATGTGCTACTATCCCAGCTTGAGGCCCCTAAATCCCCCCTGCTTGTGGTGCTCTTCCAGTGGAGCAGGCTGGGTCAAGGCCAGTGCTCCCAGCATCGACCCGGGTCACGAGGCCCAGGACTGCCAGCAGGGGGCACCCATTGCTGGCCTCGAACCCAGTGTCTCCCTGGACGTGTGCCCCGCCTCCAGCTGCCTTCGGGCCTGTGGTGGAACCAGCCCCAGCAGGGCAAGGTCACGGTTGATCCTGGGGCCCTGGACACACTCCAGCCTCTGACGTCCATGCCCAGGTCCACCTACTTATGAGGGTGACAAGACAGCTCACATACCTTTATCTTACTGAATCCTTCCTGTTTTCATTTTCGGGTTTCATATGGAGACAAAACCGCCATTTGTTTGTCTTTCATGTCAAGGTTATGATGCATGAGGCAGTCTCAGTGCGCCGATTCCAGGAGACTTCCTCGTTAATTTATCTTTCATTTGTATTCGCTCTTCTGGAGTAAACAAACCAATTTACCCGCCACCAGAGCTTCTGATGTGCGGGGCTCAGCCCGGGGCCCCCGGAGGGCCCGCTGTACACCAGGTGGAGAGCTCCGTCTTCCGGGCTGTGCGGTGGCTTGCTGGGAGCATGCCACCCATGGCTGGCGTCCAGCCCCGAGCGGCGCCGCGCTCCCAAACGTGCCGCTGGTGCTGCAGCAGCTCGCATCTCCGCGGTCCCTTTGTGCTGCGGAGAGCCGCGGTAAAGATCAAATTGCACCCAAACTGGGCGGGCATAGCCATGTTTGAGCCATGACTGATTGTCGACGCTGACTGAACCCTAATATGGCTGCAGGTTACGCTCGTCCGATCATCTGAGCCTCGATGAGCCCGCCTGCCTTTTTCCTGCACCGTCTTTTTTTTTTATTTCGAAGGCGCGGTGAGCAGATGTCGATTTTGGCAACGTCCCGCCCCGAGCGAGTGGCAATTCAGAATGAGACTGCAGAACCGCTCTGGACCATCTGCCTCTGGGTCCGAGCGGCACAGCGGACTCCGAAAACACACGGCTCGCCCCCTCCTCCTCCCACGGCGAACATGCCAGGCAGGCGGGCTAACGAGCAGCGGCCACCGGCCCCGGCCGACGTGCTACCGTCGTCTCCGCACCACCGCCTTCCGCATCCGCTAAGCGCTTATTAAAGCCCTTTGTCGTGGTCGCTGACAATTACGCAACGTTTACGTTTACGATCCCTTGCCATCTTCAGGAACAGTTTGATCCAGAGCAGATTAGTTTCACGTTAATGGGGGTTTGGTTGTGACTTCTACGTTGTCCTTTATCCAAAACGATTATGATAAAAACACCCTACAGAAAACATTACATTAAAAGTGTCTCTAAAACAATACTTATAAATAAATAAAAAAAAAAGCTTATGGGGTAATAGGATTAGTTTTACAGTTAGATTTTTGTTACACGAATATTGGCTACATCATTTAAAAATTTAACTCAGTATAGAAACTTGCGATAATTATCCTACAAATACAGATGCAACAAATCACAGGTATAGGCTTAGCCTAAAAATCTTCTGTGCGCGCTTTTTAATACAGATTTTTTTGTTGTTATTCCTTGTAAATGATGCCTATTTTAATTATAATTCCATTGTATGTAGGCCAATATATCACCAATGTATAGGGTTATCACAGATCTACAGCTGTCCTCAAACCCAGGTTCTTTCTCTTTCTCTCTCTCTCTCTCTCTCTCTCTCTCTCTCTCTCTCTCTCTCTCCACATAGCTAAGTCCAAGCAATAATGGAAACAAAAAAATGGATACGTGTAGTGTAAACTTTACCATATTAACCAAATGGAAATATCTCATGAAGATTTTACTTGTGGTTTAAAAAAAAAATACTTTTCTGCCTCCACCCAGCAAATCACTGGGATTTCTCAGACAAGAAAGATCCGTATAACGGTATAGTCTTTTGCCTACATCTATTTAACTGTCCGCAGATCTCCTTGTTTTCCCGCAAAGTTACCCCTAAACAAGTGTCAGCCATACAGCCGGTGTGGAAACAAGTAGCAGCATCGGAAAGTAGAGCAACACACTTTCGGATTAATTAAGTGGAACTGCTTAATCCCCGTACAAAGCGCGCCCGGCAGGGATCCGCCAGCCCATCTCATTTGCCTTTAATTGCCGAGGTAACGAAGCGCTGACCCCACTATGCATACGCTTTTGGGCTTTAATGAGCTATTTGTTGTTACTGAAGATGCTCTTAATCGGCCTCGGCGTGGAGGGGAGTCGGTGCCAGGGAGCAGCGCCTGTAAGCGGCCCGTCCAGCGGCGCAACATCTGCAAGCCGCCGGTAAATTTCAGCTGGACACTGCTTCAGTGTCACGGCAGGTTCGTATCATCATAGGTAGGCCTACAGCGATTGTATGAAAAACTATTTTTTGGGGCACTTTTAAGAATATAATGTCACATTTATATATTTACGATAACACACTTTTGCAAACTTCAGACGCATTGAAAATTTTTAGAAGCTATGCGATCATTTACTTTGTACCTCGATTTAATTCATGGGTAAAATTGGCCACTTGACACGTAACGACGTTTAAGTCCATTAATTGCAAATGACTTGTGAATTCCGCCTTCATTTAAACCCAAATGCAGGTCCGCATCAATCCTCACCGGGATCATATAGCGCTGTTTACCGTGAACCCGTCGGATCGGCGTCATCACGGCTCCCTAACCCTTAAATACCTGCTGCTGAGGCGCCTCCCGTAATGAATACGAGCCCTTTCGGCTATGTTTGAGTTATTTAAGCTCTCGCCCAAATGGCCGCTAACGCCTTTGCTGATCGGCTAAGCGAGTCAAATGTAAATGTGGATTTAAAGACGCAAAGGGGCGAATTACACTGATTAGGTAAACACCGGCAAGCGACTGAATGAATTGCATTAGAGGAAGAATGGCTCTAGTGAAGTTTTGTTTAATGTATGTGATTAGACAGTTTAATGTGAGTGTACTCGTGGAAATTGTGCTGATTAGGGGAATGCCAGTGTGGTAAGGCTGGAGCATATGGATGACTGGTCAAACTGCAAAATGGTGCATGGTACTGTGGCTGTACGTTTGCGTAGGCTGTGCTTTCCAGTGACTGTTAACAAAGGGTGCTGCTGAGCGAACGCAGGCCGACGGCTAGCGCCATCTGGCTTTGGCCGAGGCCACGCCCAGCACAGACAGACGCAGATCGGCGTGGCCCCAACGCAGGGCGCCCGGCCAGGAAACGGGAGGCCCGGATGCCCGGCTGCCACTAGCCACGAAGGGCGGCCTCCACGCTAACCCCGCGGCCAGCCAGGGCCGGGGCCAGCCTCCAGTCTGGAAGGCCACATACCAGAGGCCCGCGGTGTCCCACCAAGGTCCAATCTGTCACTACTGCGATGAGCTTCCCCCCCCATACACACACACATACAATATCTCCACTCTGGTCTCGCATTGTAGAAAGTCAAGCAAACACACGTCTGTATTATACCTTAGAGTGAAGTCATTCAGACGCAGGTCAAACACATGCAGATACATCAGGGTCCAGGCATGTTAGGAAACCACAGGACACACACACACACACACACACACGTTTGGAATTGTATCTTTGTGGGGACCGTCCATTCATTTCTATGGGAAAACCCTAATCCAAACTATAACACCCTTAACCCCCACACAGCCCTAACCTTAACCATAAGTAACCAACCCAAATACAAGACTTTTGGCATTTTTACTTTTTTGATTGTATTCACAGATTTTTATAAATCTGAGGTTATCCAAATGGGGACCTCAAAAGATGTCCCCAAAAGTAGGGAAATTTCAGGTTTTACTAGACTTTGGGGACAATTTGGTCCTCAAATGTGATCTATGCAAACTCACACACACACACACACACACACACACACATACATAGGGCCAGCTTGCCAGGCAGTAGCCCAGGGTGCCATTTAAGTAGGGGGGGGGAAGCAAAGTGCAAGTGAAAAAATATCCTCTGGTTGCATTCCCTGATATTACAGTTATTTACACTAGCTTTAATATTTCACTACACCTCTTGTGAGATGGATACAGGCTAGCTGGTTAGCAGCCAGATACCCAATGCTACTAAAATGATGTAATAGAAGTAAATTGACAGAATTTGTTTTCTGCTGCTCTGGTGGAGGAGGGTTCAGCAGAATCTCGCCCAGGGCACCAAAACACCCAGGGCCGGCCCTGTGTACGCACACAAAGACGCGTAGACAAAGGCTCTTCTAGCGTTCTTTCCATTTTCCCCTTTTCCCTGTTTCACGCACCATACTTTATAAATGCTGTAATAAAAGGCTGGCACACTGTTGTTGAAGGCCTTGGGAGTTTAACCTAACCTAACTCTGTTGTGAAAAGCACAATGTAAAAATAAATTAGAATATTGGTATTAGAGCAAACCATAAACATGCACCCACAAAACAGACAGACCGAAACACGTCAGGATATATAGTGTAATGTTTTATATAGTTCAGGATATATAATGCAATACACACGCAAGCACGTATACGGTTTAAATTGCACATTGTGTGTGATCTACCACCAGCCCAGTCTGATCATGTGTTCCAGTCGTTGTTTACAGGAGAGACAGTCTGTTAACTGATGTGTAACCTTGCACATCAATAAGGAAACGGCGCTCGCGGGCAGAGGGATGCTGCATGGTTGCAGGGCAGGCGCGTGAGCGGCGAGCTCGGCATCACAGCACGCGCTCGCGCTCGTACGCTCCGCTGCGTCGCGCGCAGGCAGGAAGCGTCTGCGGAGCCTCCGCGGCGGCTACAACGGTGGGGGGGGGGGGAGTCAGAAACGGAGCGGGAGATCAGATCGACGTCCGTATATAAGTGTGCCTAAGACACACCGATGACACTTGCGAGGTCCAGCGGTAGCAAGATAAAGTGAGAAATCACAGCTTGGCGAAGTGTTAGTTTTACTCCAGATCTGTTGGCCAGTAATAACTTCCGACACAGTCCATACTGATGTAATGTTTTGAAGGGAGTGGATCAGTTATGCGTAGATTAGAAAAGAGATATTTGTCAGTCCGTTTAATGACAAGAGATATGTGTATTTACGTATATATAGATGCACTGAATATATAATACGTAAAAATCTGTAACGCTGGTTTACTCCCTAAATCTGCCTGATGCATGACAGCAATGTTTCTGCGGTCTTAGATAAAGATTTGCCGCACAGTAGAGGAATGTGTCTCGGAAAGTGATAGCTGGATATAGTCACATGACTGACCCTTCACTGGTATTTAAGGGATACCCCCTAGTGGCTTGGACGCGAAGTGTTCTTGGGTCCAAGCCTACAGCTGCCCATCTCAGTCGCCGGTCAATTAATCCAGCAGGAAAACCTCCATCTGTTAAACGGACGGAGGAGCTGGAGGTGGAGAATGACATCAGCAGCTGACCGCTAACCAAATGGCAGGGTGACGGATGGTGGAACCCCCACTAGGGGGCAGGCCTGAGAAGGCGGGTGCAGGAGACATGTGGTTTATTGGTGGGAGGGGCATGAGCTTCCTGTGGGGGCACTCTTCCCAGCGGTGAACTCTGGGGTGGCCCTTGCTGGTTGTCTTCCTGTTTCAGTGCTCACCTCCCTGCCCAAACCCCCCCCCTCCCCCACACACACACACACAGACACACACTCCCTTGCCTTCCAGTCACAGGGCAGTGCACCGTGGAGACACATAAAAATTTTCACGCATGACACGTTGCACGGACTCATCGACGGACCGACATTCACACACGTGAAAACGAGGTCTCCTGCATTTTACAGAGAGGCATCTACAAATATCCCCGCTGACTAATGCATGATAAGATGCTTAAATTCCACTGTAGCCACTATAAGGTCCCCCGGCAAATAGCAGAAAAGCTTTTTTCCTTGGTTCACATCGCTGTGACTATCCTCACACACATCGCTCGTAGATCTGAAAGAATCTATGGAACGTAATACTCCATATATGGTAAAAGGGGGGTGTGGCCACATGCATATACTGCTATAGGATCCTCCCACCTCTTAAAGGCACGCCACTTTGGCTGACTGCAAGT